TGGACGGTCATACAAATATAAGAATTAGTTTATTAAGAATTCAAATATCGATTGGCTTGTTAACCTGATGGGATTTTATTACTTATGTGGATGGTATAATTTTCATTATATGTGTCTAAATTAAACTAATATAAAAAGTATACAGGTAATGAAGAAAAAACCGGTGAAAGGAATAAATAAAAGCATACAAAATAGTGTGCAAGCACATGGTATTTATGTGTGAGTGCGTGTTTGTATCAGTAAATGATTATGCATTCACTATACGTATTAGGCAAAAATCAAATACAAACAATCCTAGCCTGCACACAAACAATATACTTTGGAAGTATCAAAACAAAAGTAATTAATAATAATAATATATAAGAGGAAAAGGATGGAAATAAGCACATAGAGGAAAAAGCAAAACCAAAAAAGAAGAGTAAATAGGTATGAATAAGCGAAATATCCCGCAAGCACTAACAGTCATGTCTGAAATGAAATACAGGAGAGAGAAAAAAAAGAAAAACACGGCAGTGATTATGTAGAACCAGCAGGTTTTGCTTTTCACAAGTATAATATGAAGCCAAGACGAGAAAAACAGGTGTAAAACAGGTGGTTGGTCGTATGATACAACTAGGAAAAAAGGCAGTGTTACAAAATGGTTGATTGATGCAACAAACTATGGATATGAAAACTATCTGACTGATATTGATGTTTAAATGTTAGTATGTAGGCAATAAAGAAAGCCATAGGCTTATAGCATAGCATAGCATCAAACAAGCAGATATGTTAGTTTCAACATAAAAAAGGCATAACTGATGAAATACAGAGTGATTAGACATCTCTTTATTTTGTTAATTTAATCTCTGATATTTTTTGTTTTAACCAAATTTCCTCAGTTTATGTGGGTGTATATTCGTTGGTCGGTAAATGAGTATCTCTCATCCAGAAATAAGAAAAACACAAATGAACAACAAGTAACACAGATTTCCGTTGTGTTTATAGTAAAAAAGGTGTTGAAATAACAAGACGGAAAGATTATGCAACCACTTTACGTGATGAAACTTCCCATCGACTTCCTGTTGGCTATCTTGTTTTTTTCACTTAGACATTATTGCACACATTCAAGAAGGTATATATATAAAGGGAATAAAGAATATGATAGACAAACGGAGAAATGGAACTGTAACGTTATATGCAATAAAAGTACTTTCATTAAACTGTTGAATTATTATGAGGTGAAGAACAGTTTCAAGAACTCCGCCTGTAGGTCTTCTAAGGTTACTGCCATTCTCACGACCGGGTAAAGGGGGAGGGTTGGGTGTGTAGTTAGGAACCCCATTCCATAGAACAGAACCTTGCTAAAAAACGCTAACCAGAACTAAAAAACTCAAACTTTTTCCTCTGAGATAAAGGATCTCCATTCATAAGAATCATGATGCCTCATAGTGAAAGCCAAGATTCTTCGGAAGTCATGAGGACAATGCCTTTTCTAACAACTCGAGCAGCAATCAATATAGGTAAATGGAATTTTCGAACAATGTGGGAGACCGGGAGGACTAATCAAATAGCAATGCAAATGAGGAGATACATTTTGTCGGTTCTCGTGTTCAGCGAAACGCATTGGACCCAAGCTAGACAGCAAAGGATATATTGACGAGGGATGCTGCTGTACTTTGGTTATGAAGAAGAAAATGCTTCACATCCTCAGAGAGTTGCTCTGATGCTTATAAGATGGGAATCTGATGAACCCAGGGTCATTAAAGCATCTTTCAAAACGAAGGAGGGAATAATAATGATTGTTATACGATGTTACGAACCCACCAATCGTAGCAATGACAACGATAAAAATCATTTTTATGAGAGGTTGCAATCGATCATAGTGAAGTGCTCAGGAAACGACCTGACAATCCTGATGGGAGCCCTAAACGCCAAAGTTGGAATGGACACCAATGGTTATGAAAGTATCATGAGAGGACATGGACTGAATAGGAGAATAGTGACATATTCGCAAATGCATGTGCATCCAGCTAAATTGTTACAGACGGCACAATATTCACACACAAGCGCATACACAAAGTTACATGAGTCTCACCGGTTCACATCACGGAGAACCAGGAGAGGAAATGACATAGCTTCAGATCACCACCTGGTGGATGCTAAGATGAAACTGACGCTTAAAAAAATGATGAAAAACCGAAGAAACAGCACTACGAAGTTTCAACACAGCCTTCCTTCGAAATACTAACAAACTCAACGAAGTCAAGATAGAGCTCAACAACGGATTCCATGCCTTACAAGATCTACTGGAAGAATAAGAATTTACTATTGAGGACAATTAGGAAGGGATCAAAGAAGCACTGACTTCAAACGTGTCAGAAAATGCTGGGACGCAACAAGTGCCATCATAAGGAATAGATCTCTACGGAAATCGTGGACAAGGTTCAAAAAAGAAGGAACGAGAAGGCAGCAATCAAAACCAGCCGAATAAGAGCAGAGAATTCAAGGCAAAAACTGAATACACAGAAGCAAACAGCTTAGTGAAGAGGAGCACTAGGGTTGACAAACAGAAATATGTGAAAGACATAGCAGTAACAGTGGAGAAAGCTGCAAGAGAAGAAAAAGTGAAACAACTGCATGACACAACGAATAAACTAGTAGGGAAATATAGTAAACCAGAGAGACTAGTCAATGACAAAGAAAACAAGACAATTGCTGAGATTCGAGAAGCGAGGAATAGATGGGTAGAACACTTTGAGGAGCACTTGGATAGGCCAGCACCATTGAATCCACTGGATATCGAAGCAGAATCAAGATACCTTCTTATAGATGTCACTCCACCAACGATCGAAGAAATCAGGATGGCCATCAGAATACTCAAGAGTGCGAAAACGACAGGACCTGACAGCATACCAGGTAAAGCACTGAGATCAGACACAGAAGGAACAACAAACATGCTCCACAATCTACTCAGGAAGATTTGCGGGGAGGAACAAGTGACGACAGACTAGAATGTAGGTTACCCCATCAAGATAACAAAAATGTTCTGAACAGGTGTGAGGACCATAAAAGCATCACACTACCATTGTTACAAGGAAAGGTTTACAACATAGTGTTGCCGAACCGGAAAGATTCAGTGGACGTCCAGTTTCGAGATGAACAGGCCAGATTTCGTAAGAATCGGTCTCGAACTGACTAAATCGCAATACTACGGGTCACCATCGAACAATAAATTGAATGGAACTCATCACTACACATCAACGTTTATGACTATGAGAAAGCGTTGAACATTGTGGATAGAAGGACCTTATGGAACCGTCCTCGACACTATGGAGTATCTGAGAAAATCGTCAGCATTATCCGGAATTCATATGACGGACTACACTGAAAAGTCAAGGATGGAGGACAGCTGACAGACGCATTCCAAGTGAGGACCGGAATTAGACAAGGCTACTTACTCTCCTTTTTTCTCTTTCATCTGGTGGTTGACTGGATTATAAATATTCATACATATGAGGGGAAGTATTTCTCAGATGGCACAGCTCTTCTATCTTAAAAGCAACAACAAATGCAGTAGTCTCTGCATCAGTATGTCTCAACATACACAAGAGAAAAAGCAAGACACTCATATATAACACAGTGAACATTAACTTAAGTACACTTGATGAAGAAACTCTGGAAGAGGTAGAAACTTCCATGTAACTGGCTTGAATCATCAATAAACAATGAGGATCTGATGTAAATATGAAGGCAAGAATTGGCAAAGCAAGGACAACATTCCTACAATCGAAGAACATATGGAACTCAAAACAACTGTCTGCAAGCCAACATCAAAGTCAGAATCTTCAATACGAACATCAAGACAGTTAGTTCTATTGTACTGAGCTGAAACTTGGAGACTTACCACAACCATCATTCAGAAAGTACAAGTGTTTATAAACAACTGCCTACGCAAAAGCCTACTGTGTGAGAGAACAAATCAGCTTCTAACTGAAGAGGAAATTAGGAAAAGATATTGGAAGTGAATAGAACACACACTGAGGAAATCATCAAACTGCATCACGAAGCAAGCGCTTACCTGGAATCCTGGAGAGAAATAGAAAAGAGGAAGGCCAAAAACACATTGAGTCGGGAATTGGAAGCAGACACGAAAAGGATGAATAGCAACTGGAACGGATTACCCAGGACAAAGTTAGATGCAGAACGCTGGTGGTCGGCCTATGCTCCTCCTCGAGGGGTAACAGGCGTAAGTAAGTACAGATTCAAAGCACACTTCATTGACATACATGCACAGAAGTATATAAGTCAAGAATTTTCAAATTCTCCACATACAACAATTGATAGGAGAAAAATGAAACATGTACTGATAGTAGAAATTTAGAAAAAGAGAAAATAAGTTAGTAATCCTACCTACGTAAACTATCTAAATACGCATATTTTAGCTATCGAAAGAACTTTGCAGCAATAAAGAAACAGTAGATTATTATGTTTTTAAATGAAGTCAAATGAGAGTGAATGACTTCAAAGAAATCATTAATGAGAAGATTGATTTGCGTATTTGATGAAGTCTTGGTGTGATGATAAATAAAGCATACTATTTAAAAGCTACCAAATCATCTAGTGATTGAAGTAGAGTACAAAAGGCTTAAGAATAGTCTTTTAGTAGAATAGATATTATAAATAAAAGTAACACATAAATCTAAAACTGAATTACATAAAGAAATTTCAGTTAATTAATTTGACAATTAAAGTGTATAATTAATGTTTGGTTTCTCCTTATACATATTTGACGTATAAAATGTAAACATAAACAACTTTAAGACAACACAAAGCACAGTTTTTGGTTGAGATCGTGAATTAATTGACGTTAAACCACCGTTGGAAACCTGGAAGCACTGGACGGCCGTTTCGTCCTAGTGTGGGACTCCTCAGCAGTGCGCATCCACGATCCCGCACCCCGCGGGATTTAAATAATCATGCAATACAGAAAAAAGAGCCAATATTGACAAAAGACAAATTACCTGTATTAAACTCAAGTCCAAATGGACAATCCTCTAGTGTTAATGGATCTTTTTCTTTGAAATCATGAAATAAATCATTGGATGACATAAGGATTTGTTTCATAGATTTAGCACTTACGATACGATAAATTAAACTAGCATCATTATTTATGCCTACTGCTTCAACAGAAGTGACAGTTTCACCGATAGGTACAGATTCAAGAACAGTAGCAGAATAAAGTATAGCTGAGAATTGTGGACCATTTTCGGCAACTAAATGAATATTAACAATAGCTGTTGACGAAAGACCCCCTCCATCGATTGCTGCAACAACAGCTTCAATTTGTCTACCAGTCCAATCAGATGGAAGACTTCGAAGTAAATATATATGTCCAGATGTAGAGTTGATGGATAATAATGGTGGTTCAGCTCTAGGACGAATATTGGTAAGACTATACACCACAGTTCCATTTATACCTTTATCTTTATCAATAGCCGTAACCTGAAAATAAGATATAATAGTTTTTGATTATAATACTGAAAGATACAGTCAAACAAGAATAAAATGCATTAAATTAATATGATTAAATGAAAAATGATCATCTTTCTAAGTTATTATTGGTAGTCACAGATTTCATCTTATTCTTAGGATTATTATCTAGAATCCACAATCCTTCCCAGTAAAATTAGTGAACAAGTTTCACAAAAGTGGTTCTCTTCATGAAGTGGAAAAAAGGAACAACAACAACAAAAGTAGAATAATACGAATACTTTTTACATGGGTTATCATTAGTCACTCACAACTGTACTAAATAGTAAACAATGGTGACAAATTATATATATATGCAAGCATGTGAAATGTAAACTGAAGATAGATAGGGAATGGTGGACTAGTTGTCTCGAGTTTCAAAAATAATGACAAACTTCAATTTTACGTAAGTCTAAGAATTAAGTGAATGAAATTCACGGATCAATGAAAAGATTATTAAAAAGTGGATGAAAGCACACTTATGTAAGCGAAGATTGAATAACAAATTACAAGCAACACCAATAATATCAGTAAACGATTTTGCAAAGTTTGTAAGATTTTCAGAGTTTAAATCATGAACAGATCTTAGACAGACCACCAGAAATACTGGATGATTGTTCGTACTAATATGTAACTTTTCAGTAATGGGCACCCAAAAACGTGTCACAGGGAATCGGACCTAGGACCTTTGGAATTACAAGAGAATACGTAGCTAACATTACATTAGTATCTTTCTAGTTGACCAGCGATATCTACTCAAGCAAACGATAAGTTACATGAATCGTTTTCCTCGATGTACACCTAAAAAATAGCTGCTTTTGCAGAGATAACTATAATGGGTGTACTAACAGGCAACTTAACCAAAGGATGAGTGGACATCTTTCTAAGTGGTTTGGAAAGGGCCAGACAAAGATAACACGTTAGCACATCTTATCATAGTTATTTGTTAGCGGTCATATGATAGATAAAACTAAATCATTTCGAGTAATCTGCTGTTTACCTACGTCATTTTACACTAGAGTTCGATTCCGTCTCCCCAATATACCACAAGTTAGAGGAATCCGAACCTATATGCCCAGCCTGATGGAATTCTGACAGAAAACAAATTTGTTCGCCTGTATGCGTTTTTCCAACGTGGATATGAGTTTATCTGAGTGAATGTGAAAAATTTGAAACTCCCATTTTCTACTCACTGGGATATTATAATATAACATATTATTTTATAGTAATTATAAATGTTGTTTCATCTATTTTTATTAAAATTACTTGAGAAAAATGATTAACAATAATGTTCATGAATTAATCATATAAAGAAAAACATTCGATGGATTAAATAAGTAAAAATTGGAGACATGAATTTTCAAAATGATTAATTAACTGAAGAGAGAGCGTTTACGAATCTGTAAAATTTTCTAACTCCTGTACTTTTCTGCGGCGTTTTGACTCACCAGTAATAAATGATGAAGTTGAAAACTAAACGTATGAAAAAAGCATGATAAAAGACAGTACTGAATTTTTGAATTTGAGAAAAGAATTGGAAAGCAATAAAGGGAAAACAAAACCATTGCTTATGTGGAAAGCTTTTTGAAATAAACAAAATGCGCCGCTTTGTAGATATTGCAAATAGAGAAAACGTTTACATGTTTGCAGAATACGCTTATCTAGTTTGTATAAGCCAAAATTGCTAAGATAGGAAAAAAATCTACTTAAAAAAGAAAACAAATACATTCAGAAAGTATACGCATTGTTTATTTTTCACTATCTAACTAAGAAATTGGCAAGTTTGAGATTTGAATAGACTCTAGTATTTGGGTTGAGTGTTATATCACCTATTTTAGTCATGAAATAAAAACAGTGAGCGGATAACTAATTATCAGAAGAGATTTCGTGGAGATTTTCAGTAATTTCAATAGTTGAAATCATGGGTCGATTGAAGCTAGACCAACATGGAAAACCTGGGGGCACTGGAAGGTCGTTTCGTCCTAGTATGAGTGCCGAATCAGCGGTCTAGTGGCTAAGTGCTCGCGCGCGAGACTGATAGGTCCTGGGTTCAAATCTCGCGGGGGGCGGGATCGTAGATGCGTACTACCGAGGAGTCCCATACTAGAACGAAACAGCCGTCTAGTGATTCCAGGTTTTCCATGGTGGTCTAGCTTCAATTGACTCATGATTTCAACTATTGAGATAATTAATTGTTAAGTGTGCGAAGAAATTTCTCAAAACAAATTCCTTCATTTCATACTAGGAGATGGTCATAAAGTATCTGAATTGTCATTTACTCTAACATATACGAAATTGCTGAAACTCTAGCAAAGTTTATATCTACACAACCATTCCAATGAATAGTATCCATGTACTGGTCACTTGTGACTAGTTTCAATTTGAATTTCAAAATCTCTAGTGGAAATAAGCAAACCGAATTTGAAGTGAAAAACAAATTTACTGTTGAAGTTGGTTTGAAAAAACACACCACGATCGATCGAATTTGAAAATGGCAAACATTAGACTTTGGTATCCTTAATCTAAAAACATTATTACGAAATCTCAAAAATATGAGTTCAATCCCGTGTCGGGCCGTCAGTGTACACTGCATACTGAGCAGTAGTAGAAAAGTTATTCAATATCTAATAATTTTCTTCAGTTAAACTTATTTCGTAATGAAAATAATTTTTTAAATACAGTTGGTAGAGTTGGAGATGTGTGAACAATGAACATTTACTTAAATCCTATTGAATTCAATCATTAATAAATTTTACCATTCAAGTTGCAGTTAATATGAAGTATAGACTTTATGTAAAAATACGATATTTATTTACCAAAATATAGAATTAAATCCTGCACACAATCTATTTATCTAATATAATAATTTAATTAATCAGTCAACTTCTACCAGTTGAGTCAATACTTCAACTAACTTACAAAAAAAGAACTTAACAGAAGTATATATATATACTTATGTACTAACGAATAAAATAGAGAAAAAAATAGAAGAGTGAGACTAAAGCAAATTCATCATAGAGAGAGAGAGAGACAGAAAGAAATATCCATTAATTTGAAGCTCCCACGCTTAGGCAAAAAGCTGTTCATTCAACCATGAGAAAACACTAATTTAAAAACAACATTGATAAAGATTATTGCATGAAAAGAAAAAACAATAGTGATATCTTTATCATATATATAACATCTCACTTACTTTAAAATTATTCAAACTTTTACAAGTAGGATCAGCTTCTATATTTCGATCGATTGATTGTTCATTCAATGCATTGAAACTAGTGCTTGAACCAACACAAAACGTGACATAATATGGTAAACCAATAAATTCCGGTTGGTAATCATTAATATCTAATAAATGTATATGTATTACAGCAGTTCCAATACGATTTTCAGCATCACGTACAAGAATATTCATAGTGAAATTCGCAGTTGATTCACGATCTAATTCGGTGGAATTTTGTTTCCCGGTAGCAAAAACGCCACCAGTCAGTGGATGGACAAAAATGCCGGGATGAGGATCGAGCGTGATAAACCTTTGGAAGAAACCGAAAATAACAATACGACTGTAAAAGAATAATAATTGTAAATTCTATCAAATATTAAGGTTTCATGATTGAAAGGAAATTGATGAATCAATTATTTCAAAGTGATTTTCATCCTATACTGATGTTAGTAGAAGAGTCTATAAAAACCAATGACTAACTAATAACTAATTCATCTTAGATTGTGATTACATATTTGCATTTAATCACGACCCACACAAGATTGAACTCAAAACGTTGGGATTTCCCTGCGAGAAGAACACTTTGAGATCACTGGATCTAATTGTAGACATTTTCCAATTGGATCAACTTTTCCTCAGAGCGACATCACGTGCTGGTAAAAAAAAACTAACTTGGGATGGAACACATTTTTACGTAAATAACCTTGACATATTGGGGCCAAATATTTCTCAAAAAGAAAACGAAAAATGACAATGAATTAATTATGTGAAACGAGATCTTTAAAAAGAAAACAAATAACTGTAAAACAATCGTAATAAAGAATCCCGAAAAGAGAATTCGCCATAATTGATTACCAAACATACATAACAGTGAATAAAAGATTAATATATAGATTTAATTCTGAAAAATGTTTATAACTACGATTTTTTAAGACATACAAAATAAACATGAATTTACAAAATGATACAACGAATGAAATGAAAATAATTTGGAACCGGAAACAAAATATATGATTATCAAGTATCAATAATAGTAATAGTAATCATAATAACAATAATATTCTACCTATTTAAAGTAATACAGCCTAAACACTAGTTTGTGTATGAATAAGACGAAACTAAATAAGCAAGAATAAACAACCTCAGAATTTTTTTTTAATAAACGATCTATGAATTATTTATGTGGAGTAGACAATATGAACAATTCTAAAATGGAACTTACACGTTGTGATCATAGTAGTAACATTCTTATTATCAAATAAAGATGGATAAAAATTGGTAATTAGAACCTGGGACATTACATGATTGTCTCAGATGATTTGGATTCTTGATGTGATCATGTGTTGACTGTTAAAAAATAACGAAAAACTGCAACCTTTTTATTGATATTATCAGTTAATATAGTGATGCCAAGAACAATCGAATCACACATTGTTGGATTGGATTAGAGCATGTGTCGTGCAGGATTATGTTGCGGCACACTGACTGACCATTTCTTAGCCAATCAATGCTGACGGATAGTTGGGAAAGACTCTAGGGGCTTCTAGTGTAAAAATTACAAGTATACTAACGTTTTCTAATTGAGATTCCTAATTCGACTAACCTTTATTTATGATACAATAACGTTCCTGTTTAACCGTGTTCTGATTTGGGGACTTGTTGAGCAATAAAAGTAGCTGGGTCGGGATAAGAGAGATTATAACCCCCATTTACTATGTAGTTTTTATACACTTGTTTGACCCATGACCCACAGTGTATAAAAATAAGTGAACGTATCTCTCTCCATCGTTTTCGATTTAAGTAAACACAACCATTTATAAGAATTACAGATTTAAAGGTCTATAACACGCAAAATGGTTCCATCAGAACAAATTTTGTACTTATTAAAGTGACTGATGTATCACTAATAATGATCCTGGAATATTAGATCAATAATTAATTTAGGAAATATTTTGATCTAAAAATAATCACTATTACAGAATTAAATAAACTGAAGACTTAGTGAAAGCAGGTGAGATAGTCATTTTAAAAGACATTACGATATTTTGTGCTCTAGCTAGAACTATTTCAGTTTAGTTCAAACCATTGATCAGAAGGGTATATAGTTTAAGGTTTATCTTACCGAATTATTTTTAAACAGATCGTATGACGAATGGTGCATTTAGAGAAGATATGCAACCGAATTCCAATACACTAATTCGATAAAGTTGGAATGAGACTTGAAAAGCGTGGTTTTGATATCGTACAATGATGAGCACTTACTGCAGACTAACAGTCGTTGTGTTTCTCTATATCATAGGTAGCTTTTATTTATTGAACAGGATTATCATTTAACATTATCTATTGAAGAAGAGTGTAGCTGAGTTCGTCAATATATTGAAGGCTCTGTATACAAACACCTCAGGTAGAGTGAGAGCATACCATCATCTCCACATACATAGTTCCATTCCAGTCGCTTGGCCATTCAGCACATGTTTTGTACCTTTTAGTTGCAGAGTACCCCGGTATGACTAAAAAGAGACTATGCTTGCATTAACTCTTGGTAAAAATCCGTTAGACTTAGTCGAACAGTTTGTGTGCCTGGGTAGTTTTGTGGGTATTGGTGATGGGGTGACAGATGAAATCAATTTACAGATAGTGAAAGCCAGAGCGGCTTATGTCAATTCGGTCAATCACTGAAATAGTCGTAACGATAACCTGACTGTAAAACTTCAGGTTTATAACACGTGGGTGAGAGCAGTTCTAGTTTATGCATGTGAAACCTGGATTGTTTTGGATGGGAAGGTTCGACAACCATTCATCTCTGACCACTGACGTCTCCGAAGGACTGATGACATTCGGTGACAACACCATGTTAGTAGTGTTAAGGTTCGCTAATGTTTTTGATGGAAGTGAGGTAATGTAGTTGACGTCACCACCTTCAGTGGCTTGGACATATTTTAGGATTACCGTTTCAGCGGCTTCCACAACTCAGTGTTGATGCTGAAATTGGGGTTCAGGTAAATCCAGCTGCTGAGTCACAAATAAGCCAAATATGAGTTCTGGCTTTCACCTGTTCTAAAAAATAAATGATGTTTCGATTATATACCAAATATCATTTGAGTATTGATAATAATAACTGAGAGTACTTAATATTTACTGAGAAATAACATAGTGAAACCGTAAACAATAAAAAATAGTAACAACAATTCTGTAAGAAAATATAGGGAGTAAAGTATTGACAGGCTAATCTATTCAGTGGAAAAACTAATTCAACTCTGCTACCTTGGTAACACACATCGATGAAATAAAGTTATTCTAAGGAAAAGACAAACGATACAGTTTTATGGCTAGACACAGTAGGCAAAGTAAAAAAGTATTCTTTTTATTACAATATAAAATAATAACAATTTTATTTTTATAAAAGTCAATAGAAACAAACGATTAAATCTCATAAATAGTACCTCAGATATATAATTAATTAGTTGATGTCGTAGTCCACACTAAATACTATACATGAATATTAAATAGAAAAGTGAGTTAATGAATGACACTAATGATTTGTCTGAAATTGTTAAATACTCCAGACCGTTGTTGCTACCTTGACGTGGTGATCGGGCTTGCCTATCGTGATGAATCAATCGAGCTATACTGGCTGGAACAATCGTTACTCAAGTTCCTACCATGCCAGACAGGTCGGTTGGAGAACGTTAAGATTAAAAGCAGCAAATCCAAGGACCGAGGGCGAAGTCGTAATGCTGACTCTACAGAGGTGTGACAGAAGTAAGGTGTTTCCTTCAGACAACCAGCATAACAGCGATGCTGCCTTCCCACAAGGAGGGGTGGGGTAAGAATAGGTCGACCCTCGAAGTGCACAACTCGCCTTATCCCACGGATATCCGTCTCCGGCGGTAAGGTCTCAACAAGTACGGAGCTAACACAAAAATTACCCATAAAAAGGTCGTGTATGACCGACCTCAAGCAGTTGTCCCTTGGGCACTGCGGTCACGCTCTCAGGTCACTAAGACCACCTCTAATCCAATTTCCTCTTCAGGTACCTCCAGAAGAACCCTTCCTCGGTGTGGGCAACCGGGAAGCGATAACCGCCCTCATACCTCTAATAGCACCCAAGACCACTGTATTCATAATCAACCTCCGTCTTCACTTCCTATTATTGCTCCTACATCGACTTTCACCTCTAAATTTCCTTTTTCGGCTTCCCCCTCAAGTGTCACCACAGCCAGCGATTCTAGTGCTCAAAACACTGTCCCAGGTCTACTGAAACCTCGCTCCAAACTACACATTGGAGCCTTCAACGTACGCACCCTATGTCAAATCGGTCAACAGGCTTCCTTGGCTAGAACCCTAGAATCTCGTATCATTGATGTATACTGTGTCTCTGAAACACACATACAGGATCCCAGTGCGGTCATTCACTTGACCTCACCTCCGCAAAACGGAGAGCCAACGAGATACACCCTCCGTGTATCTGGTGACCCGACGGCCAGCTCTTGTGAACTGGCAGGAGTAGGCATAGCACTAAGCATGGGGGCGGAACAAGCACTGTTAGAGTGGATCCCCGTCAACAGTCGTTTATGTGTTGTTCGGCTAAACGGCTCCGTAAGAACTCGGAAGGATAGGGACACACGTCGTTGCCTTTTTGTCGTTTCTGCCTACGCTCCCACTGACTGCAGCTCAGATGATGTGAAAGATGAATTTTACAGAAAGCTATCTGAACATCTTCAGAAAGCTAAACGCTCAGACATAGTACTCGTAGCAGGTGACTTTAATGCTCAGATAGGTAGCTTAAACCAAACAGAAAGGCATTTAGGTGGATATTTTAGCATTCCGGCACAGCGAACAGATAATGGTGATCGTCTGCTGCAACTGTGCTCAGACAATCGTTTATTTTTTAGCAAACACAAATTTTAAGCATAAGAAGAAACATCGTCTAACATGGCGACCCCCTACACCAAACCAACGATGGACTCAAACAGACTATATTGCCATAAATCATCGTTGGAGAGGGTCGGCAGAAGAGCCATGAGAACTGAATTGAGTAGCGAGAAAACCAAAAGTAGGTTCCAGGAACAACTGAGGTCACAATTAAGTAGTTCTGAAGACGAGGCTGACCCAGATGTTGCTTAGAAAGCTATACAAACAGCAGTAACATCAGTGACTTAAACCACAGGGTTACAAAGAACCAGTGGATTTCTTCAAAGTCTATCACACTGATGGATTCTCGCAAACTCGTCCCATCAGGTTCCGAACATGATGAAGAGCGACAACAAATCAGATCTAGGTTAAGAAAAAGTCTAAGAAACGACCGTG